GCAATATCTTTGCGTTCCCTCGCAATACTTTTGCGTTACCTCGCAATACTTTTGTGTTCCCTTGCAATACTTTCGCATTCCCTCGCAATACTTTTGCGTTCCCTCGCAATACTTTTGCGTTACCTCGCAATACTTTTGCGTTCCCTTGCAATATCTTTGCGTTTCCTCTCAATACTTTTGTGTTACCTCGCAATACTTTTGCTTTACCTCACAATATCTTTGCGTTCCCTCGCAATACTTTTGCGTTACCTCGCAATATCTTTGCGTTCCCTCGCAATACTTTTGCATTACCTCGCAATACTTTCGCGTTCCCTCGCAATACTTTCGCGTTCCCTCGCAATACTTTTGCGTTACCTCGCAATGCTTTCGCGTTACCTCGCAATATTGTTTTGCATTCCCACGCAAAAGATTGTTTTATGGATGAACTGAATTAAATCAGACTTTTATTTTGAAATATCCAATTACCAAAACAGGATGTGTCGCCACAAGTTCGTGAAATTGACATTGATGTTGCATGACTGCACTGTGTTCAAATATCGGCATATGACATACTTTCATGTGTGGCTGTGTGATATATTTATTCTGAAGCTGAATTAAAGCAGTAGGCTAACTCGCTAAWGSTRAACATGTGAGTTTGTTAATAAACCGGCAGGCACAACAGTGATAAACGACTTTTGCGAGGTAACGCAAAAGTATTGAGTGGTAACGCAATACTATTGCGTGGGTAAGCAAAAGAAAAAAAAATCTCCCATGTCCCCTCGCGGGCTCGGTACACTTGCACTGAAGTATAGAACACGTTCTTTTTCCGGCACATTCACACGTTAACGTCTTCTTTAATCTTCTGAAATGAGTTCTGCTCAAACAAGAATTCAAGCCACCTGCCCTGCTTTGTTTTGTTTGAAGAACTGTCCAAACTTTGAAACCCTCAACTTCAAACTGAATGATATGATGACGATTCATTATTGTATTAAACAGTTGTTAAAGTCATTTCTATTACAACTTAGCTGCACATTTAAAAAATCATTAAAAAACCTTTTTCTTACTTACTTCTTACATCTGTTTTAACATTCTTTCACTTTCCTGCAGATTCTGTCCAGCTTTTCTCTAATCTGTGACACAATGAGCTGTGCAGTATCTCGCACTGGATGAGGAACTTTTGTTTGAGCCGGCTCGAGGCCTATTGATCAGCCACATAAACCCCCCCTCTCCTTGTAAAGTGTGCGTCTGTGTGTGTGTGATCTGTAAAGTCGGCCTGCTGAGTTTGCAAGAGACGTGCACGCAAACAAAAAAAAAAAGTTGCCTGCCCTACCAAAAACAAAAAGCACAAACTAAAAGTTTAATTATTTGTTTGTTTATTTACTTTTGCAGTGGAGTAAAAAAATAAAAGCAGACAAGGAGAGCAAAGATTAAAGAGGAGTGGAGGCACKTAATGTGGAGCTGCTTGCTCCTTGTAATTTGCAGCCAGAGAGGAGTGGGAGGAGGAACCGGGGGAGGGGAATACCCAGCAGGGAGGGAGCATGAGAGAGCAGAGGCCATTCACTTTGACACACACAGACACACACATGCACACTGTGGATGCAGGAGAGAGGGAGGGAGAGGCTCAGTCAGAGGAGATCTTTGGGAAGAGGAGTGCGTTTCAGGAGAAAAAGCAGAACTCCTGGACAGCTCTGATTCAAAATGACTGAGACGTCTAAGGAATATTTTCTTTCTGCCTAAGCCATGAAAACCATTTGGAGCTCTGTGGATTTATGTGACCCTCCTGGTTCTGCTTTTGAACTTGCTTTTTGTCACTTTCAAACCCTTCGCTGCTTTCATTTGTGCTGAAAGCGAAGCCACCATGCCTACAGGTAAGGAGGTGCTCAAGTTTTGCTTTCTTTTCTAATTACTGAGTACAAATTACAGAAAGGCACACGTTTCCCCGAAAGGTGAGGTAATGTCTGTTCAGATGGTGCAGACAGGTAAAATCATAATTATAAAAACATCAGACTTGAGCAGAAAAATGGTAATTTTAGTCATAAGTGGCAACTGTAGAACACCAGACAGCAGCTTCTGAACACAGTATGTATAATGGTGTTCTGATGGTTTGATTATTTATCTTCTTGTGTGTTCTGTGTGGTGTGTGAGATGTTTGTACTCTGCTGACAGCCCTGTGTGAAGCGTCCCAGCAGCGTCTGCCRTTGTGTGGACAGAGTCGCACTTGTTTTCTCACTCCCCCACTGCTTTCTGGCTGTTAATTTCCTCCTGATGCTGCGATGATGCTGCACACGGCCTCAGCTGTTCGGGTCCAGGGGTAATAAATTTGTACTTTTTTGTTGTTTTGTTTTAAAGTTTTGTTACAGTCGAAAACCGGGGTGTCGAACCCATTTTCACCGAGGGCCACATCGTGTTATGGTGGCCCTCAGTTGTAATTAACTTCTATGTCTCATGTTTAACTTCAGCTAAACTTGTTTCATCGCTACGGCTGAGCAACCGCTAAGAAACACTAACTGAGCTCTGCCTGGTATTTCCTGCATAGAAACAGCGTTTTAACACGTCCTCTTATAAACACTATAAAGTACTATGTGTACGACTGACTTAAAGGCACAGTGTGTAGGATTTTGTCAACTCTTTTAGCCGAAATTGACATAATCACTAATGACAATTATAAAAAACATAACTAATCATTGCAGACAAAGACCTTGTTTTATTATTTTTACCTTATAAAAAGCTGTTTATATCTCCATGGTCGCGGGTCGCCACTACAGGCAGCCGCCATCTTGTCGACAGGTGGGGACCAGAAACACCTTTTGGTACCAGGAACGCCTCTGGGA